TTTAGGGACCTTTTTTTTTTTTTTTTTAATTTAGCGACAATAAAAATGGACAATGAAAGAGCATTAGTAGCCGTTTTAGCTTAGATTTAGCAGTCATGACAATTGTTGCAAACAATTGCCGTTAAATCAAATGATATTTAGTGGCAATAAGTCACACCTTTTACCAGCTTTTGTGATAAACGCCGCTAAAGGCTTTACCGACCCCGGCTTCATCGGCTAAACATCAATAGCCGGTAAATGATGCAACAACTATTGTTATTGACGCTAATGCTCTTTTTTATTGCCGCTAAAGCCCCTTTTTGTTGTAGTGATCTGCATCAATTTTGACTATCTCTCCATCCTTTATGTACTTCAGACATTGATGCAAAGTAGATGATACCACCCCATTCTCAGGAATCCAAGGACGTCCAAGCAACAAGTTGTATGATGTCTTAGCATTAACATGAATCAGGGTGTTTGACTTCATCTCACCAATGGATAATCTCATGCGGATTATACCTATGGCTCGTTGTCCTCCTTGGTTGAAACCTTGGATTGTTAGGCTACTTTTGGATAACTCATCGATAGAGATCTCGAGCTGTTTTAGCACCATCTTTGGCATGATGTTGATAGCCGAACTGTCATCAACAAGTATGCGATTGAGATGTTATTCCCGAATGGCCCCTACAACGAATAAAGGTTTGTTATGTGTCTTAGACCCAAGTAACAAGTCATCATCTGTAGAGGAAATTGTTGCACAATATGTGACAACTTTTACATTATCATGATGTTCTTGTGTTTTAATTAGAGCAAGCTCATCGTTGCTTTTCTTTGTTTCATCAGTACTAGAAACTATATGAGTTGACCAACGTGACCACCATGAAGGAATTTTCCAAGAAAGAATTAATGCAATGTGATGGATTTTCGGAACATCAGCGATAAGGCACCGTTAATCTTCTTGTTAATAGAAGATTTAACAATTCTTGGTGGTTGTAGCTTATCCACATCGCTTATTTTTGCTCTTGGCTTGGGAAGTTGTAGCCTCAACGCTACTTGATATTTTCGTTTCTTGTGAGTGACTAAAGTCCAACCCTCATCGTCTTTGTCTTTGAATTGAGTGTCAAGCTCTAGTGAACCTTCAAGATTTTTCCTTGGAAGATCAACATCAACGGGCTCGAAACTTCCAAATTGTTAGAAGGCGGTACTTGACGCGTTCTGCAACCTTGAACACTTCTTTTCTTTGAGCGCGATACTTGCATGATTTGCTTCTGTTGTTTCATCCATGTCTATGATGATTTTTCCTTCACTTACAAGAGCCATGATTTTCTCCTTTAAGACGAAGCATTTCTCTGTAGGGTGGCTAATGACGCGATGAAACTTGTAGTATTTCGGATCGCCAACTTTGCCAATTTCCTCTAGCCTTTTTCAGGGAGATCGATGACTTTCTTGTCCAACAGTTCATCAAGGATTGTGGGTACGTCTGAATCTGGAAATGGATAAACCTTCGCCTCTAATTCCTTCAAGGTGGGACGATTCTCCTCTTTGGGATATTGACTCGGGGTCTTATCCTCCTTCACTTTTTGATTAGTAGTAACCTTCACAGAAGTTGCTTTCACCGCTATTGATTCTTTGATGCAACATTTTTCTTGAACTCCTTTTGATCAGCAAATGAAGGTGCCTTTCCATGACTTGCGATGCTTAACTCCATGTCGTGCGCTCGTGTTGCAAGTTCTTCAAAAGTTCGCGGTTTGATCCCTTGTAGGATGTACAAAAGGCCCCAATGCATTCCTTGAATGCACATCTCCACAACAAATATTTCTAAAAGACTATCTTTGCAGTCCAAACTTAATTTTCTCCAACGATTAATGTAATCCACCACGGGCTTGTCCTTCCTTTGCTTGGTGCCTGTCGACTATATCATGCTTACAGTTCTTTGGGTACTGTAAAAACGATTGAGAAATTCCTTCTCAAGTTGCTCCCAGCTATAAGTGGACTCGGGTTCCAAGTCAACGTACCAGTCAGATGCATTCCCTTCAGAGAACGAAAAAATTGTTTTACCAACTCACCATGCGTTCCAGCATTGCTACAAGTCTCGACAAAGTGGGCAATATGTTGTCTTGGGTTCCCTTTGCCATCAAATTGATGCAGCTTTGGTGGTTGATAATTGGTTGGCATGGTTAAATAATCAATCCTCTTAGTATAAGGCTTAGAGTAGTACAACGAACTTTGCGATGGTCCGCCATATTGACCTCTGATGGTGTTTGTTATCATGTCTTGCAATTGTTGGACAGATAACGCCGCAACTGAAGTGGATTGCTTTTCCTTTTGAATGTTTAGCTTTGCAAATGATTCCTCAACAGCTAATTTTTGGGAGTTGAAGACAGGTGAATGAGGAGGGACATGACTCGACTCTCCAGGTGCATAGGCCTCCAATTTGTTCATGAGTTGAGCAATTTGAAGGTCTTTATCTTCAACAGATTTCTTCAAGACCTCTATAGTTTGTTCCATCATGGTGAACTTTTCATCCACGTTAGTTGCGTCAGTCATCAAGGCATTGACTTTCGTTGAAACTGAAGAATCCACCAAATCCTCAAATTCGCCAAGGTTTGAGCATGTTTGAGAAAGTTCGTCAAACGGTGAGAATGGGGTGTTGCCCCCAGAGATTGCGGTTCGCGAACATCATATGAGATCTGCTCTTCTTTGCCATCTCCAAAGAGGCGAAGTATTCGGATCCATCCAAGCCACTAGCCTTGAACTTGCTTCGAGTGATTGGGCCAACATGACTGAGCTTAGCGGATGCGGCAACAGTAGCATCTTTGTATGAAACATCACACTTGCGGAAGGCCGTTGTAGCAGTAGATATGAATTTGTAGTTTTCAACTTGCAATAAGGAGAGATGAATGGCAGAATTGGTCCCACTGGGCGTGCCAAAATTTGTTCGCAACAAATTTTTCATTGTATGGAAAATAAACTGCAACAAAAATAATATGAAGAAAAAGAAATTTTATTGATAAATATTTGTGAGTATAATTCTATGTATCCCTTGATTCTCCTTTCTAAAATTCTCCATGATTCGAGGGCTTGAGAAGCGTCTTTCTTGAATGTAGGACGATGCAGACCTCCTTGTGATGTATTTAATCGCCAAGAACGTTGAGTAGCACTTTGTTGTTTCGGGTTGATCTCCGGAAAAAACTCCGTTGATCACTCCTTTGTTGAAGAACTATGCACTTGATGATTGATCTCTCTGTTCGTGGATGCCTTCACCAATTGCGGAATGCTCTTCTCCAACTCTGAATCTCTTCTGAGAGTTATGTAACCTCTCTATTTATAGTTGTAGAGGATGGACAGTCCAGCTACATATGAACTCTCTTGCTTGATTCTGATTGGATCATGTCATTTAAGCTACTTGGCGGCATGTGGTTGGTTCTTGCTTTTTGACTTGGATTGCCACATCATTTAACACGTGGCGTCATCTTTTTGATTTGCAGTTTGACTAGATATGCCATGTCACTTGACACGTGACATGAGTCTGGGCTTTAAGATGAAATGGACCTTGAGCTTGAAAATAATAAAATGAACTAATTTAACTTGTAAAGCCCAAATTAATTATTTAACCCAATTGTATTTAATACAAATTTTATATGGATTAGACGCAATAAATTTTATATGTATGCATGACGTTCTTTCCGATGCTTGCACGAAGACACTCAGTTGTGCAGAAACAGCCAATTTAAGGAGCAAAATGCATCAGGAAACTGCTTGATGACAATTTTAGCACAATATTAACGAAGATTAAACTTTAGGGGTTAAATCATAAATCCAGAAATTGTAAACCGAGGCATTGAGGTCCCGAGTGAAATTTCCTCGAAAGAAGCTGATAAATCGTAAATTATCACTGAAAGTTTTACCTTCCTGCCAGAAAATGGCAAAGTCAAGCTTGAAAAATGCTTTAATAATAATCCTATCGGCCACAACTATTGCGTTTTCAACGGATTTGTGCAAAGCGATCGAATCACCAGAGTATACAGTGGTGCACTCTGAATCAAATTTTGAGATCAGACTTTACAGGGAGTCGGTATGGATGACGGCACCCGTCAACGAAATCTCCTTCGAAAAAGCCACCAGAGATGGTTTTCACAGGTACCCCCTTTTCTAATTTTTTGTAATTGCTTCTTAAATGGGTAATTTTCACTGGTTACGCCAATTGGAGTTACCTATATTGAGGGTTAACAATCTTTCCCCTTTTCTTCTTCTTGTATGATGCTTAATTTTGTACACCAATTTCCCTTGTGGACTTTACTCGGACATCATTTTACCCTCTTTCTTCTTCTTCAACCCTCTTCTTCCTTGTCAGCCGAGGGTCTATTGGAAACGACCTCTCTATCCCTCTAGGTAGGTGTAAGGTCTGCCTACACACCACTCCCCACACCCTACCTGTGGTATTATAATTGGTATTATAATGGGTCTGTTGTTGTTGTAATAAATAGACTACTTAGAAGTTTTGAAGTCTCTATTGGAAAGGGGAAAAAAAAGATATTTGTGGGCTTTGCATGTGTCAAAATGGAAGTATCTAATCAAGAATACATTTTTCTATGACTAGCAAGCTGTGACAAGTTTTAGTATGAGAGGTATATGAGCGTCTTATTGGCAGATAAATACTATAGACTACTGAGGTCTTCTGATGTCAATTTGACCTTTAGATTATCTTCTAAACACACTATCAACTATATGCTTCGTTCTTTCTTCTGTTTCTCGAGCCATTAGTGCTGCTACAGATCTATATCTCTGAACCAGTTACCTAATGATATATGCTAAATAAAAATTGCCACCTAATCACCAGAGAATATTTGCTTCTAGTAAATGGTGGCAGAGGTAGGTTTGTGGCTCTTCTAATGGCATATGAAGATTTAGAGACATTCTTTTAGTTGGCATTACTCAGTTTTGGTTGCAAATACGAACAAATACAGTTGTAATGACCAATGCACAAGAAACTCGCGAAGTGGTTTGGATCAGCAATATAAATCCTCTATATTAATTATGTTCTATTTGAGGTGACGTGTCTAGGTGAATACGTCTCAACAACTGTAGTATTCAGAGGATCTAACATAATTTAACTATTTTTAAGCTGGCAAATGACCTCCACATCCCTCCTACTTTATCTAAGTTTGGGACTGGCTATGATATTAGCAGAGTTCAAGTTTGTGTAGATGAATTGAAAGCTTACATTTGAATTTCTTATGTGTTCCCTCATTGTCGTACAGATTGTTCCAGTTCATCCAAGGTGCAAATTTGAACTTTTCTCGTATTTATATGACAAAGCCAATTTTGACAAGTATTGTCCCGGGAGCTGGTCCTCTTCACTCATCAGCGTACTTTGTTAAACTGTATTTGCCTGTGAAGTTCCAAACTGATCCACCTCTTCCCCTTCCGGAATTGAACCTTCAACCTGATCCATGGACTAGTCATTGCATTGCTGTTAGGAAGTTTTCAGGATTTGCAAGAGATGGCAATATCGTTAAAGAAGCTCAGAAACTGGCATTGAGCTTGAGTAGATCTCCATGGGCAAACTCCACTACTTCTACAAGTGAATATGCCTACTCTATAGCGCAGTATAATTCTCCCTTCCGGATCATTGGGCGTGTCAATGAAGTTTGGGTTGATGTCACTGGATCTAGAGCAAGTGGTTGTGAATCCAATCTAGTTGCTGCATACTGATTTTGAGCGTGAGCTTGAAGCTTCTTCGATCGTTGTTGTAAGCATCCCTTATAGAGACCAGAGAGGCATGAAAGGTTGCTTTATGTACATATTGAATTAAAAAAATAACATGAATCCAAACGACAGTTGATGATGCTCATGTTCTGTATATTTGGCACTTCTATTATGGTTTAATGGAACTGTGATCAATTCTTCAAAAAACAGAGTGGATAACTGTAATTCCCTTGATAAAGAACTTTGGCATTACCATGCGTGTTATTCTTGTACTTTATCCCAAAATGTTTATCTGTGTTGACTTTCTCCGCTCAAGCTTGGCTTTAGTCAAAACCATTTCCGGGATTGAATTTCACAATTTTTTTTAAAGACAAACTAGAACCTTGATAGGCAGAGTTATCGGGTACCTAGTGTTAGTGGGAGGTAGCGAATATCCTGTGCAAACTGGCCCGGATACCATGTTATATTAGATTAAAAAAAGAAGGTAAATTACGTAGGAAGTATTATAATATAGAAGATTTTCTAACTGGGTATATATTTATTTAAGGACGTGTTTAACTTGTTCAATTAGTGATGCAATATTATCCCAGATTGAATTCCCAACTCATTACCAATAAACCTCATATTTATTCTAACTTGTCAAAATTAAAAAAGTCATTCTTATAGTGAAAAGATTCTCAAAATTCACCTAATCTAAATCGTGTTGGTACGTATATGCTCAATTCACTAGAGGATATGAAATGTCTTTGGGCTTTTCAGTTGTTGAATAGATAGGAGTGATGTTTGACTGCTTACATTTATGCTAGGTATCTGCTTCGGTTCTTCAAGAAGTCAATTTGCTGATCCTTTATTTGCTTTCTTGAGTGAACGACTTGAACCTTAACTATCTATTCAACATTGTTAGTGTGCTAGAGAATTTAGACCATCTTTCACAATGTTACAAAGTTAAGAGTACTAACTACAAACATGTCATCTTAGAAGGAGCTTGATGATAGGCAATAATTACGTATTTTAGTCTATTATTACACTCTAATTTATTGCACTTTAGTTGAGTTTGCGCTTTAATCGCTAGTGTTTTGCACTAATTGTGTGTTTTATGCCTTGTAGGTGTGATTCCGAGCTATATAGATGTTATGGAATAAATTTAAGTGGTTTTGAGCTTTGAAGTCTGAGTAAGAGCTCAAGGAATTAAGCCGGGATCGCGTTCGGGGATCAACGGATGATAAAACAACAAAACGAAAACTCGAAGAGGCATATTGCGCACTGTCTAGTAAAATAGACATAACTTTTTACTCAGAATACCATTTGGGCTCCATAATATATGGTTGGAAATCTAACTCATAGGGCTACAACTTTCATGTTTTACGTTTTTCCATATTCCAAACGGAACAGGATGAAATATCGTGGTTTTACCGCGACCGCGGCAGAACCGCGGTGAGGGCTGCTCGCAGACAATTGAAGCAGCAGAGGCCATGTTTGACTGCGGTTTGACCGCGGTAGAACCGCGGCAGGAGGCGGAAATTTCAGGGACTAAAGTGCAAAACACGGGATTTTAAGCCCAAAACCCTATTTTAAACACTAGACTCCGCCTAAGAGAGACATGTATTGTTTTGGAGAGTAGTTTTGGAAGAAGAACAAGTGTGAGAGATCACCCAAAACATCTTGGTTTCTTCTTCTCTTTATGTTTCTTGCAAGTTTTATGATGAACATTGTTTTAGTTTATTTACCATAGCTATGAGTAGCTAAATCTTTTGTCTAAGGTTTTGATGGAACCTATTGGGGGATGAACTTCTTGTTTATGTGAATACAAATTGCTAGTTTCAATCTTTATTTATTCAACTATGTTCTTGTTGTAGTTAATTGACAGGATCCTCAATTAGCTGTGCCTATTTAGTGTGCATAACTCGGGAGAGAGTGCATATTTAGGTTATTGTTGAATAACACCACTCCTAAAGTATAAGAGGAATCTATAACTGCGGGTTTAAAGGCGGGATTAGGGATAACGAAGCCTTGGGTGCAATCTTAAGTGAACTGTGTTAATTAAAGCTAGCTAGTGTATCTCGGGAGAGTG